GGGGTAGGTGTTTGCCAAAGTGGCGTTCCCCAGACTACAGCCTTGTCGCATCTACAACCTCGGCGGCTAAGGCATCACTCCCTCAGGGCGGAGGCACAAAGAGGAGCGTGCTTTGTTTTCTCCCGGGCAGCTCAGAATGAGTCACTTGGAGAAGCTCTAAGAAATCCGAGAGACTCGCTCGGTGTCTCCTCTACGGGGAAACCAATGGGGACTGCATACCACGTTGTTGTATAGGGTGGGGTTGAAGCTCACATGCTTGTAATATTTTGAACCCTTATGTAACTACCGCATCCGGCATCACCACCCACAATGTAATCTCCACTTCACCCACAACGTAGCATGAGGCGTGGATTTGAAATCAGAGCACGACGAAGGGGTCGGTGAAGCATGACCGTAAAGGTACGGGCATAAAATGACACCAAACGGCATCTACTGCAATAGTGCAAAGGTTTTCCCTATAGATGGATCGCCTTCTCGAGGACTTATTTCTTTATCTATGGAATAGAGAGGAGGGCTTCGTATCCCTAGCCCTACCCCTAACCCTAACCCTAACCACCAAGCACTCGGTACCCTTGCGAAGGCTACTGCAATAGGTACATACCTGCCCGCTCTTTTCGTCATCGGGGACGGTGGAGGGGACCGCAAAGTTTAGCACCTTGCCCTCGGCCGCGAGGCTGAAGCAAGCGTCGTCGCTCAACCGCCGGGCGCTTTTCTTGAGGGTCGCCGTTGACTTGCCCTTCACCACGAACCTTTTTCACACGCGCCATACACAATATTTGTTTTTCGCGCAAAGGCAGTGATGCAACGTTCGCAACTTTTTGAGATTATTGCGAGTTTGAAGTTAAACATATTGTCGGTGAACAGAAGTGGGGGGGTGTCCTGGCAGCAATAGATCACTCCACAGAGTGTCTGTGACGTGCACGTTTTAGCACCCCCAGTTGTTGAAAAATGTGTACTTTGTGTTTTCATGCTGTCTTTTCTGAATCACATCCTGTTTAGGAAACCTCTCATCGGGCTAAACTCGTGAGCGCGCGTCTGGAGCCAACTGTGCGAGGCAGCACCTCATCGGGAAAGAGAGACCAGTACAGCGACCTCAGCCATGAGAAAGAACCTTTCCCTGGAGGCGACGATCAAGTTTCATTCGAAGAACGGATGTCCGGTGTTCAGCATGTTGCTTCGGCGGCAGTTTCACTCCGGATGAACGATCCCGTTGCCACAAACACTACAATCCGACTAGGATCACCCCACAGTGCCTTACGGATACTTTTTTCCAAAAAGGATGTGAACATAGAGAATGCTGTTGTACACATGGAGAGGGATGTGATTACAGAAACGGTTGTGATGCCGGGCCTGGTATTCTGATTCACTGAAGTCGTATTCATTGGTGAAGGCTAATCTGGTTTACTCGGACTTTTCCCATCACTATAAAACGAGTGATGGGGGTAGGAAGGGACTCATCGTATGTGCGCCTCGCCGCAGTCACCTTAATCCGGCCAATACGCACTTGGTCGCATCGATTCCTGGCTATTTCAACGAGAAGCACGGACGTCCAGTCGCGTCTTTACCGGGATACACGCGAGCCTCAAGTAGTACATCGTCTTTGCCGCTCAAAATACCGTATAATGTGATGGCATTCCCCACAAGTATTCCCCGGCGTGGCTATGTTGAGCCATGAGAGTCTTTGCAGGCAAAATATCAAAGCACTCCTGGTATGCCCCTGACAGGTACCGTATCGCCCGTCCCCGCCCAATCCGCACCAGCCTCTCACTTGAGGTTGTAGAGCATGATGCCGCGCCGGGAGCCTTCGGGAAGGCTGACACGGTCCTTCCCCTGGTAGTAGAGGTTATGCTCATCGATGGAGAGGAGCGTCAGGTACGGCTTGCTCCCGATCAGCCCCTTTCTGGGCGGGAACCTCAGCAGTTTCTGCGAGCACGTGTGTTGTGGGTTGATTTCAAACGGGGATAGTGCTTGCGGTGGACGAAAAGTGAATCAGCAGCGACAGCGGCAACGGTTGCAACACAGAAACTGATCGTTTGAAAAATGAGGTGCGCCTGGGGCGTGCAGTAAGCGAATGATTTTCGTTGGAGGTTCCTGCTTCAAACGTCGAACGACACAGCGCAACATCATCTACTTATTGTCGCCCTCCTCGCGATCCTTCTCCTGGTACCGCTTCCTTCGTCGATGCTATGAATAGCAGATTTCTCGTGCCGATTTTTCCCCCTACCTCTCTCTCTTTCTCTCACCCGTCTTCCTACAAGAAGT